AGGAATTGCTAGGGTTTATGCCTTTAGGGCTATGGCCCGAATATGGCTGGGCTTCCTTTCGGATGATGATTGGTCTGATGGAGTCTTGCGGCCTGAGGGTTTTCAAGGGGTTATAAAAAGTAATGTGCAAGATGTACCCTTATGTAATTCTTATCTGTCAAATACCCCCTTTGATAATTATACAATAGCATTTACCCCCTCCATCTAAAAAAGTTAAAAGGCAAAAAACTCCTTCCGATTAGATTGTGTGTCACACTCGCTCCTTGTGTGATGTTTCCTTCATTTTTTCTTATGAAATGACAGAATTGCCCACGACGCCAGTCGCCACTACCATCATCTCTCTAGTCTCCACTCCCCTTTTCTTATGAAATGACAGAATTGCCCCCCACGCCACTACCATCATCTCTACACAAATAGAGCACACATATCCACCATGAAACTCCAAGATTTCCTAGAATTTAAAAAAAAAAATGAAGAACACAGTATTTATGTGATGATGCTAAAATATAGCTCACCTAGGGTGGTGTAGAAAATGAACTGGGAGAGCAAAGCGGATCAGTAACTTGACAACCTGATGATCCTGAGGTCCTTGTGAAATGAACACACGTGAACTACGCCGGGGGTTGATCCGGCGGAAACTCCTCCGACGCTCAAGTCAGATATAAGGATTGGGGAGATGGTAGAGAGAATTGAACTCTAGCTTCTTGATGAATGATGAAAACGTACCTTAACAAATGAGTAAAACATCTATTTATATATCGTTGAATGGGTTGAGCTTACTTTGTTGGGCCCAAACCTTACTTTGAAGGAGCTTGGGCTTTCGTGTAATGGGCCCACTTGTATGTGATTGGGCTTTCGTGTAGTGGGCCTAATTGGTAGATAAATTTGAGGGCCCATTGGGCCGGCCCATTTAGGTATATCACTATGCAACATATTTTATGAAAGAAGGCGTCGGAGAAGAAGACCGGTTTTATTGAATTTTTGGGGAAATTGCAATTAATTCCGTAATTTAAGTTGTACAAGTTTAGCAAAATTGTAATTTTGCCCCTATTTTATGTTATCTAATCTGTATTCTATTTTGTTGAAAGGTATATTTGTCTTCTTACGTCCAGTCAATGACTAAAATCGTAATGGGTGCAATGAGCAATTTAAAATTTTACACAGGTAATTTTTGCTAGTTATTTTATTATAGGGGAGTTTTTGGCACATAAGAATTATACAAGGGTACTTTTTGCACGTTACTCGGACTATAAATTATAATTTATTAATATATTTATTAATATGATATACAATTAAATTTCTACAAATTTTTTATATATAAAAAATGAAACGTCGACTCTAATGATACATTTTATTTTAAAATTAATAATACTACTAATCATAATAATAATAATTAATTAATTAATTATCTATTCTTCTAAGTTTGACTCTAAGTTTGACACAGACGGTTAAGTTTAACAGAAAAAATAACGGAAGCTACCCCCTAAAGCACAAGGGGATTATGTGCTGATATTACGAGCACAATGAGATCATTTGCAAAAGCTTGTGATCACGTGGGTTTAAGTGCTATTTACCCTTAACTTCTACCACTAATTATTTTAATATTGTGTAATATATTTTTTAATACAATTTAATTATCATATTTAAAAATTTCTTCCTTTTTACAATGATATCTCGTGCATCGCACGAAATTTTTTTTATAGCTAATATAAATGAAACTGATAAAATTTTATATACTCGATAAATTAATAACTATTAATTTATGAAACTACTCTTAATATCTTTAATGAATGTATTTCTCATTTAGACGTTTTAAATTAATCCCTTTTTTAATTCATCCATTAAATTTTCTTCAAACATTCTCTTTTCACAAAGTAGAGACACCAAGAAAGACGTTCAACATAACATGCAACACTCCAATTAAAAACACAAAGTAGACATAAACGAGGAGTATTCAAAACATACCAAAAAAAAAAAAAAGAAGAAAAAAAAACACATTTAAAAACAAACATTGGAGAAAAAATAAATAACCGAAGAATTAATTAATTGACAAGAGCACAATGCTTTCGAATTTCGCCAACGGACCCCGTCTTAACTCCAATCCTTCCCATTTTCTCCATAGAGTTCGCAAATTCCTTAAAGAAAATCTTGGAATCTCCGTTCACGATTTGATTAATAATCGAGCTGGTTATCGAATTGGTTGTGAGTGCTGCATCGGATTCGAACAAGCCCCTTCGTTTTAGGACAAGCTTGTAGTAACTGAGATCGAATGTTCTGAAACTTCCGGGGTCCATTTCCACTTTAGTTGTCGAATTTATGGACTTGCATTTGTTAGCTTTTAGATTGGTCGCGTATTCGCTGTCTAGAGATGGGTCTTGATCTCCTACGCCCGTGAAATTGTAGAGACGGTTCGCGAATGAGGAGCAATGAGAAATGCCGATGGTGTGAGCACCTGAATTTAGATATATGTCATTTATGGATGTTCACTGAAGTATATGTATATCCAATACGTGTATAGATTCATACATATTTTACACACATATACACGTGTACGCGCGTGATTGTGTGTATCATGTTAACTAGTGGTCAATGTCAGATGGATCGGATAGCAATTACCACTTTCGGAAAAAAAAATTCGATTTTGTTTAAAAAGTATAAAGATCAATTCAAGTTCGTTCCAAAAACAATTCAGAAAAAAAAAAAAAAATCCAAAATTGGAACGAACAAAGTTGTTCCAACATCGATAAATTTTGGATTGGAATCAAGAGAAATTTGGGATTTTATTTTTTAGTCTCGTATAATACAAAAAAGGTAAACTGCGAAAATCCCACGAACTTAGGCCACCCCCACCTATTCGTAATTATGAAAAATCCCCTGAAATTTGTTTTCGTCATACACAACCACTTACAGTGTGACTTTTCACGATCTTTTTTTTTATTCTAAGGAATAAACTTTACACAATTTCAGATATTTTCTTTTATTTCTGACCTATTTGACAGAAGGTATAATAGACTGTACACATTTTCTATTAAAAAACTCAATTGACAGTTAATTAGAGGGGGATTTTGGTTATTGCGGATAGGTGGGGTGTTTTTCGTTATTTAGCCTAAGTTTAGGGGGTTTTTCGTAATTTACCTGTAAAAAATACATATTAATATTGCTATTATAAATGCAATTTTTTTTAAACATTAGAAATTTGCGGAAATATTTTCTAAATTGTAACCGAATCAGAAATCGAAATCCAATATATGCAATCCAACTCCGTGATTTTGTTGGGAAAAATCGAAAACCAGAATTTGAAATGAAAAATATTGTTCCAAAATTTGAAATATTCGAATCAAAATCGGCGGAATTCCCCTAATGTTAACCCAAAATTCATTATATATTACACCAGGTGAACTTTACCGAGTCATATTAATCCTACTATACACGTGTATAAATTCATAAATATTTAGTATTTACCCTCTCATCCATATATGTACATGTGAGTGATCGTGTGTAAAAACGAAAGGTTACATATATATAGCTCACCGGACAAGACAACGAGGTCGGTAAGATTGAGTCCCTTGTTAGCAAAATCGTTCTGAAGTGTAGAAATATTACTGAATGGGGCTGGAATTTGTGCTAACGCTTCCGATGCATTCGATATCACCCCATCTCGACGCCCCGTCGGCACTCTCCAAAAAGGACCGCCCTGCAATTAGAAAAAAAAAAAAAAATAATCATAAAAATTAATTAATAATGCAAATAAATTTCATGAAAAGAAAAAAGTGAGTAGTTGAAGTTGGATTGGTTTTTTATATGCTCACAGTGACAACAATGGCATCTCTTGCAGCTAAAGAAACGATATCCGCGCAAGAAACGACGCCAGGGCATTCGGCTTCCAGCAGGCTTTTCAGCCTGTCGATGAAGTCGAATCCCCTGACGGTTCGATTTGGTGGCGAAACCTTTTCGGTTCGGTTTCCGGTGCTCGATGTGGAGTTCAATAGCAATGATGCATCACATCCCTGTCAAAAATCAAATATTTTTTTTAAAATTGAGAGAGAGAGAGAGAGAGAGAGAGAGAGAGAGAGAGAGAGAGAGAGAGAGAGAGAGAGAGAGAGAGAGAGAGAGAGAGAGAGAGAGAGAGAGAGAGAGAGAGAGAGAGAGAGAGAGAGAGAGAGAGAGAGAGAGAGAGAGATTACCCTCACAAAGCAATCATGGAAATGCATCCTAATCAAGGCAGCTGCAAGAGTGGGAGCATTTGGGATGTGCTTATTAACATAATCCACCACAATCTTCTCTGCTTTAGGGCATGATTTTGCATAGTAATTCATCTCCAAATCAGCATTAGTAGATGCAATTAGTACTAATCCTACAACCAAACACACAAAATTATTCCCAACATTTTTTCCCATTTTTTTATATATTATTTTATAATTCTCTCTCTCAATCTCTCAATCTATATATCCTGTTTCTCTTACCAACTCCAATATTGCATGGCTAAGGTTATTTAAGGTTTTTATAGACACTATTTTGGATTAGTTGGGAAGATAGAGATAAGAAGTAATACATAGGAAATAAATAAATAATACTAATTATATATTCTTTTGTTAATTAACTACTAACTATCATGTGCTTGATCATCAAGTACTTTTTATCATACTTTAACTTAATGGGGTGGTTTATGAAATGGTTAATTATATATATATTTTTTTTATTTTTTATTTTGAGCAATTTGATCCTTAGCCGTCATCACTAGGAGTAGAAATTCGAAAGGATCGAATTTGAATTAGCATCTCGGGAAAAATTCTAATTGTTTTTTTTTTCTGAAATGAAAAACTAATTTCAATTATGTTTCGGAAAATTCCAGAAAATAAAAAATCGGAATGAAAAAGATATTCCAAAATAAAAAGTACATAATAATATTGTTGGAAAAAAAAATGGAATTTTCATTAAAAAAAATTGGAAATTAAAATCAGATCGAAATTTGGGATTTGTCGTGTTTACCATTTCCATAAAACAAATGGGAAAATTGGAAATCGGAACTTTCAGAAATTTGAATGAAAAGATATTGTAAATATTCGGATCGGAATTGTGGGAATATAATTCAAAACTTTCGTTCCAATTTCCGTTCTTTATTCATTATATCATTATAGTATTATGAAAAAATCTTTAATATTTTGGTAATTACGACCACCCCCTCAATTATATATATTTTTTACGAAAAAATCCCTCATTTAGTACGTAGATAAATTTGTCATCTTAAGAGTGGACATGCAAGACAACATAGCTGATCGATGGTTGCAACTTGTAAATACCCAAACGAAAGGGGAAGGGGGTTATTTCGTAATTTGGCTTTACTCTAGGGGGTTGGCCGTAATTTGCGTTAAAATTATTGCAAGATAGATATTTTTGCCCGGCTGCTGAGAACACATTATTAACCAATTTGTATTTAATAATTGAAGTTATATATACCTGCTACCACCTCGTGTAACCAGCTCATTCATACTATACACAGCTATATTGTAATGGATTTTTCTGGGAATAAATTAAAATTAAAGGAAAAATTGCTATAAGCTAATAATTAAATTTCCTGTATCACAATGTTTTATTAAGAAAAAAATAATTTGGGAGCGAAAATATATAATTAATTAAATCATTTGTCTTTGTGAATCCAATCATGAAGGAATTTTTGCTGGCGTTTTTTGTCAGCTATAAAATTCCAAAGCATCTACTTTAATTGTACCATATTAAGAATACATCTACATAATATAATATAGTATAATATAATTATTACAAATCGAATGAAATTCTTAATTTTTATTGTATTTACTCACGCATCAAAATTAAACTTTCCTATTTTGTGTGAAATGAAATATCACAATTTCTATTAATTTATAACTTTAACGACTGTGACACTTAGTATTTATTTCAACAATAATACAAATAGAATACATTAAATAAATATTTATCTGTTAATTATAAAGTAAGCGTAAAAAAGCAAATTTTCAATTTATAAGAATAAATTGGTATATCAATTATCAAGTACTTTTTCTCTAAATTTAATATTAGAGAATGCTATATTTCAGCCCATTTAAACGAAGTAGGCCTCAAAGCGTTATAACTTGGGCTTAAGTCCGACTAGTGACTAATGATCATTTTGTTTCCCTTGATGAATAACTAATCTAGGGCTGTGCGTTGGTTGGTTTGGTTAAAAACCGGGTATAAAACAAACCCAACCCATCCAACCAACTTTGGCAAATATTGGAAATCATTATCGACCCAACTTACATGGGTTGGGTGATGGTTGAAAACCAATTTAATGGGTTGGTTGGTGGTTTGGTTGATGGTTCATCCATCTAAATATTTTTTTAATTTTTTTTAATATTTTATTACTTGTTACAACGCTATATTTTTTTATAAATTAAATACGACTAGTTCAATAATATTCAAATAAAAGATTCAAAACATTACGGGCATATATATTGCAATTAAACATAAATAGTTCAACAAATAATAATCGTCCAAATATTTAGACTGTATATCTTAAAATTAAAATAGTTAAAATTAGATAATTAGCTTAGATTTATTGCTTTTAGGATTTTGATCAATATTAAACAATTTAATAAATGTGATATAAAATAGAAATTTGAAATTAAAACTATTAAATATTTTAATTAAAATTAATAAATAATAAATTAATGAATAAAGTTGGTTGGCCGATATTAACCGACTAACCAACTTTTTAGCATATTAGAAACCATTATCGACCCAACTATACATGGGTTGGTTGACATTATCGACCCAACTTAAATGGGTCGGTTGATGGTTGATTAACCATCACAAATTGTGGGTCGAAAATGGGTTGGTTGATGGTTAAAACCGATCCATGCACAGCCCTAAACTAATCGTCACGAGCTTGAAGATGGATATATTTATTTGGGGAAATTACTATTTTCACCCCTTAGGTTTGTACAAATTTAATATTTGGCCCCCCTATGTTTACAAAAAACACATTTGGTCCCCCATGTTTACAAAAAAACACATTTGGTCCCTCATATTCGAATAATTTAACATTTTTGGTCATGTCTGCCAATTTACCGTTAGTCTGTTAGTTAAGGCAGTGATGAGCACACGCTTGATTCCATTAGTTTTAACGGGAAATTGACTAAAAGTGTTGAATTTTTGAAATATAAGAGATTAAATGTGTTTTTTTTATGAATATAGGGGACCAAATGTGAACTCGGTGTAAACTTATGAACAAAAACTATATTTTTCCCTATTTATTTTGATTATTTACTTGTCGAATTTTGATTATTACTATGTACATATCTTTCATTTATTGAATACGTATATGAAACAATATAATTGGATGTTTTATACCAATTAATATTTTTTTCCACATAATTTTAAAAATATATATATATCATTTTATTCATTTTTTTGGCATTTAATATTCATTTATCCAATTCAATAGGTAATCCAAATTAATTCAACCAAATAAAAGAACGAAGGAGAAGATGAATGCAACGTTTGTACCATTTTCATTGTCTTCCCACTATTCTAGAGCAGGTAGATGCTACATTTGATTATTTACATCGGGGAATTATTACCTGTAGATGGGGTTAAATAACCGTCTATTACACATACACTCACACATGTGTTTGTGTGATTATGTGCAGATCTACGGTTAACATTCATTCATGCAGTATCTATGTAGCATCGAAACTTCAAATTCTTAACCTTTTCGCTGTTCGTACACGTTTTGTGTCCGACACTCTAAGACATCTGCCGGACATCTTATGGGCCATTTTATAATTTTGAAAATATTAGAAACATGTTTGAATAACAAATTTCCAAATATTGTTTTCCCTTCGCTAATTATTTACATGATCTAATGATCAATTGCAAATTGATAGTTGATAATAATATTTATTTCGAATATAGTGTCGAAATACATAATTTTTTTTGAGATATAAATAAAAACTTATATCGGCCTATATATCATATTTATAAATATATCCCTACATTTTTAATATTTACAGGTTTTCCCCAAATTCCCATATCCTCATTTTTGGGACATGCCGTTTCCTGTGTCCGTTTTTTCATTTTCCCGTCGCCTTTTCCGTGTCGAGCTACATAGCCAGCCCAATACAAATATCCAGATGTAAGATCTAATTACTCCAGTTTCTATATTACCACGATTTTCTATGTAAGTAAATTTTGTTTCTCTTCAAATAAATTACTTTTAACATATACTATATAATATATATTAATACCAACACAACAATTGAAGCCCAAAGGAAGAAAATATAAAAGATAACATAATTTTATTACTTACTTTCAAGTAGAAGACATTTATTCATGACATACAATTACAAACCATTAAAAGAAAAAAAAAAAAAACCCTTAAATGATCTCAACCACCTCACAAATTATTGATTACCCTAAAAACTTCCACACAAATTTAAGAAATTAAAATAAATAAATTAATTAATTAGCAACAGAACAAATCCTCCTAATCTCACCAGCTGTTCCGGTCAGCACCCCAATCCGGCCCATCTTGACCATCGATGCAGCAAAGTCCTGAAAGAAACTGGACGATCCCGATGAACTCGAATGCTGCTGCACGTACGCATTGGTCACGTTGTTGCGTAGCAGAGCTGCGTCCGACTCGAAAAGACCCCTTCTTTTCCTTACGATTGTGTAGTAATCCGTGTCGAATCTGTCGAAGCTACCCGGGTCCATCTGAACTATGGTGGTCGTGTCCGTAGGCGGGCATCTCGCCTTTAGTGCTGCCACGTAGTTCGGGTCCATTGTGGGGTCCGCGTCGTTTCTTCCCGTGAAGTTGTATATTCGGGTCGTGAAGCTTGAGCAGTGTGAAACCCCTATTGTGTGCCCTCCTGAAAAATTAATAATGATATAGTTAGTTACATTGATAATTTTTCTTTGGGGAAAAATACAGTTTTCGTCCTTCAAGTTTGCACGGATTTCACATTTGGTCCCAATATTTACAAAAAATCACATTTAGTCCCTCATGTTTCAATAAAATTAACACTTTTTGGTCATTTGCCATCAATTTATCTTTAGTCCGTCAGTTAAGTCAGTGCAACGCACACTCTTGATTCCATTAGTGCTATATGGAAATTTGACGAAAACAACCAAAAGTTTGAACTTATGAAACATGAGGGACCAAATGTGTTTTTTGTGAACATGGGGGACCAGATGTGAAATTGGTGGAAACTTGGGAGACGGAAACTGTATTTTTTCCATTTTTTTTCTTCCATTTTTATTTTTTTTTAAATCTTGATTTTACCTGACAAGACAACAAGATCCTTAACATCTAATCCCTTTGCAGCAAATGATGCCACGAGCTGAGTGGCGTTGAAAAACGGAGGTGGGAGATTAGTCAACGCCTCGTTGGAAATCGACACATTTCCGTCTCTTCGTCCCAACGGTACTTGCCAAAACGGTCCCTTTATCTATATAACAAACGTACATATGTAAGAGAAACCTCAATACACATATAAATGCGTGTGTATATAAACGTTGTCCGATCCTAGCTAGTGCTACACCTGGTGAAATACACTGGTTAAAATATGTACGAATTGAGTAAGTTTTTACATAAAATGAAGTTAACCTGCGAAACTGCGTCTCGAGCAACTAAAGCAAGAATATCGGCACAAGAAACTGTTCTAGGGCAACTTCTCTCCACTGCAGTTTTTACGGCATCAATTACTTGGAAGCCTCTAAGGCTCAGGTTCGGTATCGAATCCCTCTCAGCCGTATTATTTGCGGTCGAGTTCAAAAGTACGGATCCATCACATCCCTGTATATCAACATGAATTAAATTCATGCATATATATAAACACGAGCGAGCGCGCGCGTGTGCGCGTGTGTGTGTGTATATACAACGACATTTTATTATATCTAGACCATTTTTGGAATTTAATATATAGTATGCATATGTTGAACTGAAAATAATTTTGATCAATTAAAGTAAATACCTAGAAATACATGGGAAATAAATCATCATAGCAATTGCCGAAAACGCGACGGTTATTATAATAACTAATTTAATTTAAAAAAAAAAGAGGGAGAGAGTAGTAAATATGAAGAACGTACCCTAACGAAACAATCGTGGAAATGCATCCGGAGGAGTGCTGCAGCAAGAGACGGTGCACGGGAAATGAAACTCGCAGTCGTCCGATTTACGATAGATTCAACAGAAGGGCATGTCCTTCTATAGAAATTGAGTGCAAGGTTTTGTGCATTAGCATGATGAAAGAAGAAGACAAGAAAACAAAGAAAAAGAAGCTTTGTAATTATTGCCATAATTAAAATAATTGATTAATCTTTTTCCTCAAATTAGGGAAAGAGATTAATATTGTATGACTTAGGTTTTTTTTTTCTGTCTTAGAAGAGATTTGAGCATCTTTAAATAGTTGGATATTTTCTTACAAACTTGCACCAAAAGGCGAAATCCCTCGCCCCCAGGGCCCCCATCCCTTGGCCCGACAAGGATTGATGGAGGAATGTAAATCATGGTAACTCAACGGCCCGTTAAGGTAGCGGACCCGGACCTGGTGCCCACAAGGAACCAACTCATTGGAGTTGAAATTCCCACACTGCGGCTGCCAGGATTCGATCCTAGGACCTTGCACCAACTTACCACCTCCGGAACCAGTTGAGCTACACCCATGCGGGCTATTTTTCTTACAAACTTGTTCATGCAGAGTTATGTCGTTGAGGAATATCTGTCATGGCTCAATTTAATATTTGATATATTATAATTCATTATGTGAAATATAAAGGTTGACTGGTAGTGTAATTATTGTTATGCTTGGTTGGATATTTAAATTTTTAATACCAAATTGTAGAAGATGCTTTTTCTGAAGACTGAATCTTTACCAACCATGCATGCAAAAGTCACTACAAGAAAACATATTTTTTTTGGGATAGGACAAGTTTGTCACGTTAGATCAAAAAATAGTCACAAATGAAAATTAGTGTTAATATTATGCTTGGGGTGTTCATTCGGTAATACTGTACCGAACAATACTTAAAAAACTTGTACCGTTTATTGGATCGAACTATTCGATTTGGTACGGTTTTTTACCGAATTAATTCGATTTTTTTTCGGTTTTGTGCCGGTAAAGCTGAAAATATATGTTAATATTTTAAAAAATGTACGAAAATATATTAAAACTAATTATTTCTTGAATTTGACATTCAAATTTCAATAATTGGCCCTAAAAACAAATTATTATCAATAGAGGCTAATTTCTACATAATATAAAAAAAAAATATCAATCTAAAAGTATTTTATATATTATTATAACAATTAAATATTTCGGTATTCGGTATGGTACGGTATACCGGACATGAATACCATAGACGGAACCAAATTTTAGGTTCGGTATGTGGCACGTACTAAAAATTTCGGTCCGATTCGATTGATTTACCCCTATAAATTATTGTAACTTACTGCACTGTCGATAATCCTCATTTGCGATGACTTATAAAGTATTGTCACTTAAAGATTTTATAAAATTCGAATTCATAATTAGATTTGATGGATCATAACTTCAATTGTATTTTGGGGGCAGCCTCCTCCAAATTTATTTTTCGGGATATATTTAAAATTAAAAACAAACAATAAACATGTAAGCATTTTAATTTTTTAAATTTATTTAAAATAGGTATAATCTAAAACATAATTTTATTTTAAACATAGAAATCACACACTAAAAGCAATATAATTTTTTAGGGTGACAAATACAAAATAATGTATAAAATATAAATAACAAGAAAAAACAATTAAAAAAAAAACAATTGTTTTTTGAAGGGGAGGCTGCTGCCCCCATGCAAAGCTTGGGTCCCACCGCCCCGGGGTCCACGTTGCAATTAGGGGAAAAAACAATGTTTTGTTAGTTGTAGTTTTAATAATATGCTAATGCAGGTTGCATGCGTTTGCCAGCCATACGTCCAATTACTAATTGATTGCTTTGAAATTCAATTTGGTTTTCTTATTTATACATTATCACAATTAGTTGAGTAATGATTGGTAAGGTCAACTGATTAATTAATTATGATTTCACAGCTAATTATTTGATTAATAAATATCATTTGTAATATCATCCGAAGATTTTAACAAATCAAAATTAAATAATAGAGTAAAAAACCGTTAGCTCCCTAAACTATGGCCATTTTGCACTTTGCCCTCCAAAAAAAAAAAAAAAACTGTACGCTTTTACCTGAACTCGTTAATTCGCTGCATGTTGCCATCAACAGAAATTTTTAGGCAAATTTTGGCCGGAATATGAAATACGTGCATTTACACGTGAGATTTGAAGGGGTAAATTCATTCTTTCACTTACGTTCTATATTTCTAAATATAACTTAATCATTGAAAAAAAAAAACGTCCACACCCGTCTTCCTTTCTTCCCGTCGCCCATCCTCCCAAACCCGTCTCCTAGCCAAAATTCTCATTTTAAACATCTTCTCCCACTTCCATCAATATTCTGAAATATTAGATGCCGTTTGCATTTTACTAATATCGTTTGACTTGGAATGTGATTTTGACAATTTTCTAGTTTGACTTTAGCAATACAAAACGCGGAAATTGTAGCCCTTTGTATGTTTAGCTTTCTAATTCAACACAAGTTAGCTAATTTGGGTGTCGGATGACAAAGATACATGGATGAGTTATGTTTTGAATTTTAGATAACTCAACTTATCAAATTTGTGGGAAGTGTTCATTGATTCATGAATAACTTTCACATCCAATCTCCAATCTTGGTGATTCAAGTTGAACTGGAAATCTAACTCGAAAAACTACAAATTTTGTGTTTTAAGTTTTACCCAATTCAGACTAAAAAACAGTCAAAATTACTTGAAGTTGAAACGGTATTATTAAAAAAAAAAACAAAAAGGACATTTATCACCTCCTATATTAATTTATCTTTAATATATTAAATGTAAGTAAATGAACGACAAAATAAAAAAGGAAAAGAAAAAAAAGCAATTGGGCCCCTATGATGTTTTGGGCCCTGGCGCGTGCCCCAACTGCCCATGCCCATTCCGACCCTACTACTATATAAAATGACTTCAATTCAACGACCAATCTAGGATTATAATTTAGGGTAAATTACAAAGGTAAACTTAAATTATGAAAAAACTTTTTATATCTGGGTAATTACAACTACTACTCAATTATGAATTTTCTTACACGTTCACTCTTGTGGTATCAAATTTAACATAATCTTCTAAATTCCGTGGAATGTTCTCTAGTTTGTATTCGTTTTGCGCAAAAATGCAGTTTATGATACACCACAATCTGCTATATACAAGCCAAAAAAACACATCTTATGATCATCTTGATTCAAAATGTGGAGCTCGAATGGGATAAAACGGGTACAAACTTGAGAATATTCCATATAATCTAGAAAGATTCCACTAAATTTAACACCGCAATGGTGGACGTGTAAGAAGACTCATAGTTGATGGGGTAGTTATAATTACCCAAATAGAAGAGAATTTTTCGTAATTTGACCATACCTCAGGGGTGGCCGTAATATACCCTTATAATTTATTTCAAATGGTCTTTCATCATTTATGAATTATTGATCTAATTAGAACTTAACTAAGCAAATATTTATGATATACTTTGTCTCCGCTTGATTTTGAAATTGTTGGGAATCGACATGAATAACACAATAATTTTTTTTAATTGTTTTTGCTATCATGCAATTTCTATAAATTTAAATTAATCGATAAACATAATCAAATAGTATGCTTGATAACGTGTTTAAATTAAATCGAATAATATTTATACGAATAAAGTACTCAAATAATTTAATCTTAGTTAAACAAAAGGAATTCAATTACTTACTCGCGAAACGTAAGCTCCTAAGAACAGTTATGTGGTCTCACTAAAATCCTTTGCCGGGGCAATTCTGGCCAATCTTTTTTCGCTTGGATTAGGTTTGACACTGAAGAGATTTTCTCACCAAATAGTTCGTACTAAAAAACTGTAAGGTTTTAACAGGTGAAATAAAATGAAAGAAGAAAGGAAGAGGACAGGAGGCGACGACGGCGGCAGGGTGAAAGGGGGGAAATGACCACAACCACAACTTGACTTGTTGTCACCCACTCTAACAGAAATACGATCCAGATTGATCGAAAAACAACACCATAGCGCTTTGTAAAACAACTCCTTAATTTTTGAGAAATTACATCCAAACCCTTGCACTTTGTAAATTTCTTCATCCACCCCTACAAAAGGGTGTTAATGTAAGAAATCTACAAATTACAGTGGTGGATATAATTATGAAAAAAACGAGGGATTTTTTTTTCTTAAAAACACCTTTAGGGAGCGGTTCTAATTTACCAAAAAAAAAAATAGCAGAAAAAAATCACCTAATGTACCATTAATACAAATTAAAACAAACTAGTGATCGATCGAACGACACAAATAACAACAAATCATTAATCAATTAAATGAATTATTCATCAATTAACAAAAGAACACGTTTTCCTGATTTCACCCCGGTTCCCCGTGAGAACACCGATTTCGCTCATTTTCACCATAGACTTGGCAAAATCTCCGAAGAAGCTCTTTAATCCGCGATCAGGAGTAGCCGCATGGCGCGTGACATAAGCCCTAGTCTCACCGTCAGCAAGAAGAGACGAATCGGAAGTGAAGAGTCCTTTCTTGTTCGCGACAGCTTTGTAGTACGAAGTGTCGAACACTTTATAGCTCCGCGGGTCCATCTCAACCAACGATCCCACATCCATTCGCTTGCACCTTCTCATTAGAAATGCAGTGTAGTTCGACTCCAGTGCCGGGTCGCTATCTCCTTTGCCGGTGAAGTTGTATAGCCGGTTAGAGAAGCTCGAGCAATGGGATACTCCTATGGTGTGGGCTCCTACATGCATATTGAGGTAGGAGAGGGTTTAAAAATATAATCGAACGAAACTATTCGATATTGATTATTAAAAGCAGCTCAGTCTACTGAAGTAGAACCTCGATAAATTAATAACCTCGATTAAATAATAGTTTCTCTCGGTCCCGACTCGGTGAAAACGTGTTAAATTATTAACTCAACAATTTAATAATTCGCTAAATTAATAGAATTTCCTAGTCTCGACTGTATTAATTTATAGAGATTTAACTGTATTAGTTTAAGGAACAAAGTTTGACGAACACTTATACTCATTCGGGACGTGTGTACTAAAGCGTATCCTGACGAGTAATTTTAGTAATTATCTGCATGCACGACCATTTCTACTTATTATATATCTTTATATTTTTCAAAAATAATTAATTTACTAAATAACAATAAAATTACTACGTACGCCTCTGACGGGGCCCTAAACGGTTGCGATGGAAGAGACGAGGCTCTAATAATTACCTGAGAGAACTACAAGGTCCTTTGTGGTGAAACCCTTTGAAGCAAATGATGCTTTTAACTGACTAATATTGAAATTAGGAGCCGGAAGATTAGCCAACACCTCGGAGCTCTTCGACACTCTTCCATCTCTCCGTCCCAAACGTACCGGCCAGAAAGCTCCGTGCTTCTGCGCTCAAATATATTTAAACAAGTTATTGATTAATCATGAATATAAATACCTTTTTTCGAATTTTTTTTTGTTTTTTTTTAACTTGGTAGAAATGGAGATCCATTTGAATTTTATCAACTCACATCTGAAATTGCGTCACGTGCAAGAAGAGCTAATATATCGGCACAAGAAACGACACCTGGACACTGCTTTTCAACGGTGGATTTCACTCTGGCGATGGATCCGAATCCTCTAAGGGATAGATTCGGAAACGAATCTTTCTCAGCTTTATTGTTTCTTGTTGAATCTAGTAGCACAGAACCATCACACCCCTGCAAACATGTATATAGCTTACGACTGAGCGTTTACATGCATGCATATGTATAAGGTATGTATAATAATTATAAAAATTATATTACCCTAACAAAACAGTCATGGAAATGCATTCTGAGAAAAGCAGCGGCAAGGGAAGGAGCAACGGAAATAATACGAGAAGTTTCTTGTTTCACGATAGCCTCTGCAGATGGACATGTGTTCTTGTAGAAGCCAAACTTCAACTCTTCAGTATGACACGTGTTGAATATGCTAAGGAGAACAAGAACATTAAAAATAACGTGCTTGTAAGTGAAAGCCATTATATTGGAATACAATTGAGGAAAATGTGATCAAAATAATTAAATTTTTTTGTTGTTTCTTGTTTGGTTGGCTTTCAATGAGTATCATATGTGCGTCTATATATATATATATATATATATATATATATATATATATATATATATATATATACACTGGGAGAGGCTTTCAACATAATTTTGTTGTACAATTAGTTGTTAACTAATTTGATTTGGTGACAAATTATTTTTTGTTTTTTAATTTGAAAAAAATCTTTATTAGGGTGACTATATAGATCATAAGTATTTAAAAATTAGCACATGTAACGCAGTATCGATCATTTGTACAGTTTTTGTTCATAATTTGAAAATAAAATAAAAAAGATATCGATTTACTTGTTTGATTAGGATTAAAAGTCGATTTCAAGAAATATATTCATGTCATATATTCTCCACGAGATCCATTTGACTAATTAAGCAATTAAGATGTGATTAGCATGAACTAAATTACTTGGCAACTTCATTGAATATAAGTTTATTTATTAATTAACTTGCTTCGAATGCTTAATAAATAATAATACAATATTCCACATTTCAACAGTATCTAATTATTTAATACCCTATTTTTTTTATATGTTTGTTTTGTTTAGGATTTGTTTTTATTTGATTGGGAGTTGTCTTGATTTGTTAGGTATTGTTTTGATTTGTTTTTCTTCTTTAACTTGGCCAGACATTAGATCTATAGGCAAAGACCCCTTATATAATTGATTGGGAGTTGTCTAATATCTAATTGTCGAAAAAACTTATCTGTTAAAAAATTTAGCAAAAGATCCCTTATATTGTGTTTTATTTAGCTCGCCGCTCCTTAAATGAGATTTATTGCAAACATTTCAGTTTTCATTTCTCAAGTTTGAACTAATTCCACGTTTGGTCCCCCATGTTCATAAAAAACACACTTGATCCCTTATGCTTCAATAATTGAACACTTTTGGTCATTTCCGTTAATTTACCGTTAGTTATCAGTTAATGCAGTGATGGACACACGCTCGATTCCGTTATTTTTAAAGGAAGATCGAAGGAAATGACTAAAAATGTTAATTTTTGAAACATGAGGGACCAAATGTGAAATAAGTGCATAGTTGAGGGATAAAACTGTATTTTTCCCTTATTTACTCGTTGACTCAAGTTAAATGACAAAACTAACCCTACTGAATTTAATAATATTTCAATTTAAAAAAACAAAAATACACAAAAACTATATTAGGATATATGAAAAAGAAAAAAGAAAAAAAGATGAAAAAAAGAGTTGTTAGTTGTCATCCTTCCCGTGTGTGTACACACCCCCAACCTCCGTCGCCGCACCACCACCACCGCCACATTTGCCCCTTCCCCTTCCCCTTCCCCATCCCTTTTTTTCACCACCCTTCACGGTGGCGCAAATCGTCTCCCCGTGCTAAAATGTGTTCTCACCAAAAATGTTGGGACCCTTTAAGGCCATGGCTGGAGAGAGGGTCGACGGAAAGGAAAGCCTTCATGTTCAGGTTGAAGAGGACTTTTCAGAAAATATCAGGGACTGCATCGGAAAAATTAAAATTTTCATTTTGGGCCTTATAGAATTTTGGGATGAATCTATAAATTTTGAATTTTAAATTTAAAGGGTATTTGAGTCTTTGCATGTAAAAACTCACCCATATGCATAAATGGCGAGTGTACCAGGACCTTGCTAATTGTTTTAACACGAGAGCTTTTGCAGCAATTAGAGATTTCACAGGGGTGACTAGCGCTAAAACTCCCGAGACATTATATTAATATTTTGTTCGAGTATCTTTTACGTTCGTAAGCATTATTTGATGATGTCAGTTATCATCAAGGTCGTAAAAGGTGGGGATCGGGTTTGAGGCGATTAGTCATCGCTTCACGATTAATCGATGCAATTGTGATTAATTGGCGATAAGTCGGATGTAATCGATTTTTTCATTTGATGTATTATAATTTTAAATATTATTTATAACTACTCAAAACATATATAAAAATATATTCAAATACGATTTTATCCCAACATTTATATATAAAAATCATATAATAAAATTTAATAAGATCATGATGACGTAAAAAATAAATCACCTAGTGTGTTGAAGCTGGGAGAGCAAAGTAGGTCACGTGCTCACGAGCTAGATAGTCCTGAGAACTTTAATTTACTCTAGGATCCTGCGAACAGAAAACACGTAATCTAAGCCGGGGGTTGATCCGGCGGAAACCCCTCCGACGCTCAAGTCAGACGTGAAGATAGTTGGTAATTGTAGAGAGAATTCGAAAAGAAGAATTGATTGAATAATAATAACGTACCTTTATTAAATGAATTTAAGTTGTATTTATACTTTATTGATTGGGCCGAGATCAATTTATCGGGCCCAACTTTCTTTAGGTGTGACTGGGCCTTCGTATAAATAGCTACTGAGTTGGGCCTGTGGCCCAGTAAATATGGGTCTATTGGGCTGGGCTAATAGGCATATCATTAAGCCCCCCACTCTCGAGTCGATGTGGGAGTGAATTGGGGTGAAGTGCCATATCGTGTCGAGAGTAGAATTTTATTTCGTTTTTCGTGCTTGTGTCGTCGACGGAGGGATAATAATAATAATTTATTATTATTACTGCGTGGGCCGGAGTCGTGAGCGGATTTATATTTAAAGTGCACAAATATAAAAAAATGTTTAGTAGTAGATAAGTCCTTGTGAAATCAGTAGAGGAGAGTATCAAGAACCACGCCGAATAAATATGGGTGAGTAATCAAATTTATTCTTTATATATCTCTCTCTTTTATTTTGCTCCATATACTTCGTTGTAGAAAAGAATTTATTCGCTGGCTGAGAAGATCTGTAGATAAAATAAGTATATGTCCCAAGTGGGGAAGGCGAAACAGTTGAAAATTATCCTGCGAAAGTCGC